GAAATTTTTGGATGAGCTTGTGTGACGAGATTCTAAGTATCTCAGGAGAGGCATTTAGATGAGCCTATCTGACGAGACTCTAAGCCCTTCAAGTGAGGTGTTCAGATAAGTTTGTCTAAAGAGACTCTAAGTCTCATAGGCAAAGTGTTTAAATGAACCTGCCTGAAGAAACTCTATGTCTCTCAGGAGAATCATCTAGATGATCTTGTCTAACGAGACTCTAAGTATTTTAGGCGAGGCATTTAGATAGGTCTCTCAGGCTAGAATTCAGCCGAGTCCCTTAGACGAGACTTTAAATTGAGTTTCTCGGGAGAGACTTTAAGTTGAAACCTGACTGAAAAGAATCTTAGTCCCTCGAGCGGGGCATTCGGATGAGCCTATCTAACAAGAATCTAACTCCCTTAGGAGAGGTGTTCAGATGGGCCTATCTGAAGAGACTCTTAGTCGCTCAGGCGATGCATTTGGATGAGTCTGTCTAACGAGACTTTAAGTCAAGTCCCTCAGGAAGGCGTTTAGATGAGACTCTTAGTCGAGTCTCTCAAGTGAGGCATTTATATGAGCCTTTTTGAAGATAATCTTTGTCCCTCAAGCGAGGTGTTTAGATAAGCTTGCCTGATGAAACTCTTAGTCGAGTCCCTCATGCAAGAAGTTTAGATGAGTCTGTCTGGTGATACTCTTAGTCCCTCGGATGAGGCATTTAGATGATGGAAATCATACCCTCTAGAAACCTCTTTGATGTCAATTCCAGCGGGATGCCTCCCCCCCCCCCCCCCCCTCTGCGTTAGTACCAGCACCTGGATTCCTAAACTCTGAAGGATTTCTCGCGTCGGGAATTTAGATCTCTGGATTCCTAGCACCAACAAGCCTCATACTTTCTACAACATTCACGACCAGACTCCTAACCCCGATGAAAGGCACTTTTAAACCTACACAAACTATCACTTGTGCCCCCGGTTTGAGAGGACAAGTCACTAAGTTCATTGTCACTCACCAAGTTCACGACCAAAGCAACCGAGTTTCTATAGTATCCAAACCCAAAAATTAAGCTCAAAGCGACCTAAATTATAAAATAAAGATTATTACTTTGAGATATCTACAATTTTCTATGAATAAAGAAGTTGAATCACCAGAGCCTCATGAAGAACTTCGTAGCAGAGAAAAAGAGTCGAAGAACACGAAAATTGCAAGAATTCAAAAACAATAAGGAATTCAAAGCAGTGACCTCATTCTCTTGATGTATATATAGGCAACCAGTAGCATCAAGACCTACGATCGAGAATCAATAAAACAATGAAAGCACGACCAACGACTCATATCCAACTTTGGTTCCATAATGGCACTCAAACAATCTATGTGCATTGCCTTCTTACCCTAGAGGTTTATGTCCACATGGAGGACCTCCACAAAGAAACGTTTCAGTGACCAGACAAGTATTAAATGTGTATGTTCCCAAAACCATCAAATCCAACTCAAGTCATTATCAATCTCTTCCCCAACCTAGAGAACTCTTACAACGACCACATAATGTTAGAACGTAACTTTCTTGGGCTGGTCATGATAAATCTACAACATCAATCCTAGCGTCGTATATGATAGCAAGGATTTTTAGGAAAATTGTTTCAAACCGATCAAACGACCTAATAAAATTGGCCCAATACGAAGTTCAAATCTGAAGTTCTACCCACTCAGACCGATGAACATTTGTACCCTCACTAAGAAGCTTTACACTAAAATAATGCAACATGCTGCTCATCTAATTAGGTGGAACCCTACTAATGATCTCTCGTACAAGGCGCCACATTCAACGGATGGTTCCAACTATCACTCATATATAAGGATGGCTATGAGTCACACCAATATACTATTCATTTTACACACTTACAAGTTTCTTCTCCCTAACTTCATTAATTTAGACATTAAAATATTAACGTTGTATTTTACATTCTCTCTACATTCACGGGAGACTTTCACCATCATGCCAAACACCTTTTATGGTAGACTTCACCAACCTACCATCGATTTCGTAATTTGACATTGGAATATAACCGAAAAATCCAAAATATTACACCAGCATTGTTAATTAAAAAAAAAAACTATGATTTAAATATCATAACTTTTCTTTTTTTTTTTTTGGTAAATCAAAGATATTTCACGCACAATTGTGGAGTCTAAACATATGGTTTTTCATATATACCTTCCAATTTCTACCAAATAATTAACTGATTTAAGTATCTACCATTTATGATATGTTGTGTTGGTATCAGAATAACTTTGAGTTTACGACTTTGGATTTTACACATATTACATTTTCAAATTTATTAGATTTAAGTTTATTACTATTTACTTAGTCTGAAAAACATTAAACAGTTGTTTTGTAATATGAAAATATGAATGTATACACTTCCCTTATTGCACAATGTGCACACAAAAAATCCTTAACTACCCTCAAAGCAGTTCACACTCACATCATCAAATCCGGTTCCTTATTCTCATTTTTTGGTCACAAGCTCATTGATGCTTACATCAAATGCGGCATTATTGCTGAAGCACGCAAGCTGTTCGACGAATTGCCTAACAGACACATAGTTACTTGGAATTCAATGATCTCCTCCCATATCAAATTTAGGAAGACCAATGAAGCAATTGAGCTCTATAAAAACATGCTCTTTCATGGTGTTTTACCTGATGCTTACACATTCTCTGCTATTTTTAAGGCTTTTTCGGAGTTGGGTGTTTTACGCTACAGCCAGAAGGCTCATGGGCTGGCTGTGGTTTTGGGATTTGAGGTGTCGGATGGGTTTGTTGCAACTGCCATTGTTGATATGTATGCGAAATTCGATAAAATGAAGGATGCCCGTTTTGTGTTCGACCGTGTTTTGGATAAAGATGTTGTCTTGTTCACTGCATTGATTGTGGGGTATAATCAGCATGATCTTGATGGTGAAGCTTTAGAGGTTTTTGAGGACATGGTTGGTAGGAGAATCAAGCCTAATGAATATACTTTAGCTAGTATCTTGGTTAGCTGTGGTAATCTAGGAGATTTAGTTAATGGTAAGCTGATTCATGGTCTTGTTGTTAAGTCTGGTTTGGAATCTGTTGTTGCTTCACAGACTTCACTTCTTACTATGTATTCAAAATGCAGTTTGGTTGAGGATTCCATAAAGGTATTTAATCAGCTTAACTATGCAAGCCATGTGACTTGGACATCTTTTATAGTTGGTCTTGTGCAGAACGGGAGAGAGGAGGTTGCTGTGTCGGTATTTAGGGAAATGATTCGTTGTTCAGTGATTCCGAATCATTTCACATTATCTAGTATTCTTCATGCATGTTCTAGCCTTGCAATGCTTGAAGTAGGGGAACAGATTCATGCCGTAACAATGAAACTAGGAATTGATGGAAATAAGTATGCTGATGCTGCACTGATTCATTTGTATGGAAAATGTGGAAATGTAGAAAAGGCAAGGTCTGTTTTTGATTTATTGGCCGAATTAGATGTGGTATCCTTCAATTCAATGATTTATGCTTATGCGCAAAACGGTTTTGGGCATGAAGCGCTTCAACTATTTGAAAGAATGAACATATTGGGACTTGCACCAAATGGTGTAACATTCATTAGCATTCTCTTGGCATGTAACAATGCAGGATTAGTTGAAGAAGGTTGTCAAGTTTTTACTTGCATTAGGAATAACCACAATATTGAGTTGACAAGAGACCATTTTACTTGTATGATTGATTTGTTAGGACGAGCAAGGAGATTTGAAGAGGCTGCAATGTTGATAGAGGAGGTTAAAAATCCGGATGCAATATTATGGAGGACATTGCTGAATGCATGCAAGATTCATGGAGAGGTAGAGATGGCAGAGAAATTTATGGCAAAAATGCTTGATCACGCTCCCAGGGATGGAGGAACACATATTCTGTTAACGAATATTTATGCTTCGGCTGGAAAATGGGACAATGTGATTGAAATGAAAAGCTCAATAAGAGATTTGAGGTTAAAGAAAAGCCCTGCAATGAGTTGGGTTGATATCGATCGAGAGGTTCATACTTTTATGGCAGGAGATTTATCTCACCCAAGAGCTCATGAGATTTTGGAAATGTTGCATGAATTAATAGAGAAGGTTAAAACTTTGGGTTATAACCCTGATACCAAATTTGTGTTGCAGGATTTGGAGGAAGAGAAAAAGATTAGTTCTTTATATTATCACAGTGAAAAACTAGCTATAGCTTTTGCTTTATGGAAGACTTGTAGTAGGAGTACTACAGTCAGAATTTTCAAGAATCTTAGAGTTTGTGGAGACTGCCATAGTTGGATAAAATTTGTTTCTTTACTTACTGGGAGAGATATAATTGCTAGAGATGCAAAGAGATTCCATCATTTTAAAGGAGGGATATGTTCCTGTAAAGATTATTGGTGAATTTCAAATTTACAATTCATTTTTACAGATGTGAATCCCACAATTTGTCTGTAAACAGACAAATCTGTGATGGTTCACTCCAGTGTTGTTACACTTCAGTTAAACTGAATCATCAATGTATATTTTACTATGATTTAGTTGTTATACAGTTAGTCTATAAACAAACCAATGTTAATTTTACTATGATTTAGTTGTTATACAGATAGTCTAGAAACAAACCAATGTTAATTTAGTTTGGATTTTGAACAACACTAACAATTGCAACTGCTATAATTTTCAACGCAACAAAAAGCCTTGCGGCGAATAAATAAATAATAATACAAAAATGTGGATGCAAGAATATTGAAAAACTAGCTGTTACATACAAAACAGTAATGTAGTTATTTACAGTGCCTCTCTGGGTTGCTAAGTAAGGTGTATACAAGATAAGAGTGAGTCTCGGGGCTTGTTTAGTTTCACTTCTGCATACACTCAACTTGCATTCATATGCCAATTGGCCGCGATTTAACAGAAGCTGCAACTGAAGCTTTGATCCTGGTGCGCACTTTGGACATTGATCCGCAAACAGACAAGCACTTAGAATCAATATTGGATGGTGTGATGGCGTAACCAGAGGTCATACATAACCATATGGAAAGCATCATATCTCACTGGAGGCGAATTCCACTGGAAGTGTTTCTGAATCTGATACAACATGACATAACTTCCTTGTGAGTTCCACCATATGATTATGCAAAAAAAGTTTTACACAATAAATTGCATAAGCATAACCTTTAAAACTCTTTTCAATTTTTCAAAATTTTAAGTGTAATTTATTTTTTGGGTTATATTATATACCAACTTTACATACTGATGACTTTTCGAACAGAAATAATAATAAGTTCCAGAGTACAATTTAAGCATATAACATTGAAACATTTCTTGAAATAAAGTAATGAGAGGATTACCTTGACTAAATTATTATGAAGTACAACAAACTCGGCCTGCGATATTTTCTTGAGGATTTGTTTAAGCTGATATACATCACTTTCCTTGAGTACAACAGCAAATTTTCTCCAGTCAAGAATATCATTAAAAGGAAGGTCATAGTAATTTGATAATATCACTGCAAAACAACATTAACAATTTGAGGTCAGGTCAGTTAAACAGTCGGTTGTCTAAAGACTCGTACATCCCAGCCCAATCCTTAAAGCCACATAATGATAATTCATTCAACTATGGTATAGTTCAAATGTCACTCGTGTAACAACTGAGGCAGAAGTAGACGGGCAATTTGATAAGTGAGGTTCTACTGAATTTGAGATTAATTATCACCCAACAATTAAGTATTTCGACCCAGTGTTGCCAAATGGTGGCTATAGCGAAGTGGAAGTTGAACAAATCACTATTGTTCCGTGAAACACTATTCAGTACAAATTGTTGTCAAATAGCAACTATAGCAGTGCTACAACTATGACACTGTACGTAACAAAGATATAACAAGCCGTTTATTCTGCAATCTGTTGACATCACTGCTTCAACCTTGGTTAATGTAATTGGATGGGTGAAAGGTCATAAATTTGTCTACAATGCGCTCTTTGCGGCAAGAAGGGTTTAAAGAAAGGTTAGTCATAAGCAAGACATGAATAAGAATTTCAAGAAGGCTGGTCTTGAGATTTCAATGAAGTCACTCACATAGCCAATTCTTATTGGGGTAATAGTGCAGTGAGTGGTCGTAATGGATGAACTCGAGGAGTTGGAAAAGGTAGTGGATGACAGCTATCAAAACTTGACACATTTCTGTTTCTGAGGGGCAATGGCGTTGAGTGCTATTTCAAGCCCAAAAAAGAAATTTTAGAAACGGGAAAGATTGCATGCTGTAATGATTGCCACAGAATTGGTCTTTGGTCACACTTATCAGTTCCAATCGTGAAAACTCTATATTCCATGAGGTGTGCCAAAAAGAACCATAAAAACATAACAAATGGTAAACCAAGCTAATAGCCAGACTGCCCCACAAAAAACTTCATTATCTAAACTGGTTCAAGAATTTGAACCCGTTTTATAAACAAGTTCAATGTGATTGAACTTCTAGTACATTGGATAAACCAGTTATAACTCAACCAAAATTTATGAGAAGCTCAATATAAGCAACCACAAAAACTAAAAGGTTAAAAAATATCAGAAAGTGTGGCTTACCAGGTATGCATCCATAATGGATAGAATCTGCTATTCGGGCACTGTTAACCTGTGATCCACCAGGGCATATACAAAACTTACTCCTGTAAAATCTCTTCTGGTACACTAGATGCCCAGTAGCCCTACTAATTCGGTTATTTGAAATGTCAAGTTCTGTGTCATTTTCCCATACACGCGCTAGAATAACTCTAATTTTAGAGTTACGATGACCAGCCCAAAATCCAAGACTAGTCCTGCAAAGCACATATTTAACAAATTTTCACAATGGCATGTAGATCTATTCTTTATTGAATATTGATCTTCTAGAACAAATTATAGAAACTAAGGACTTGTGTGTCGTGAGTAAGTTGAAAATAAGGGACTGCAACAAGATTGACACACAACTCAAGAAAACAGGATGATAGCAATCTAAACTAAAACAGTTTGATCCACAAAACCTAATTTGCACCAATATTTGTATAATAATCTAACTAATTGGAAGAGGCAAAAAATGCAAATTTTAAAAAGATTCACCTATTTTCTACATCATTCCCTCCAGCTGGAAGAGCAAATGGTTGTAGCACTTGAGGGAGAGCAACATCTTTGTGTGGAATGAATCCAACATCATAGCTGGGGGAGCACACTGCTCGAATGGAATTCTTCACAAGTAACGGAAGTCCTTCTGTTGCCCTCACACCAACATCATGACAAGTGACAAAGAAATGATCAGCACCCAATGTTCTGTTCCAATAAGGATACTTGGATATCAAGCTCTCCACGTAATTTTGTACAATTATGGTCATATTCTCATAAGATGTGCCCTGCATAATAACCAAGCATGAGATTCACTACATACCACCTAGAAGTAGGATTTAGCCATCCAAGCTAAACATTCTAAAACTTCCGTACTAACTATCATTTGCTTTTAGCTGTAAATTTACAGCCTCAACAAACAAATCGCAAACAAATAATCAATTATTTCCATCTCGGAATCAGGGTTTCAAAGGAATAAAACTTAGGTACATTACTATAGATACCGTTGCTATGGTTTTTCACAAAACAGATGCAAAAATACTCAGAAAACAGTTAACACAACTCACACCTTAAAATCAGTGGAAGCAATTAGTGGCAATTTTGGTACACTTTAGTGGGGAACACGACATAGAAGACATAGGGATCTAGAAGTAAGTTTTGTCTTTTTGACAAAAACCCATGATTGAGACGACAATCTAGGCCAAGACATCAAGATTTTTGCTGATTTTCTCATAAGATTTGCCCTGCATAATATCCGAACATGAGACTGACTACATTTCCCACCTAGAAGCAAGTACTTACACTATGAAGCATGGACACCCTGAACACTACACCGACACTAACATGGCGACACCGGTAATAATTTGAAAAAATGAATAAATTAAATGTAATCACAAGTGTTGGTGCAGGTGTCCGACACGGACACAGACACGGAAACCAACACGCATTTTTCCATAGGTCTCAGTTCTACATAGCTTACACGTCCAGCTAAACATTCTAAATCTTTCTTATTATCATTTCTCTTTTAGCTATGTATGTATCTACATCATCATGGTAACAAATCATGAGCAAATAATCAGTTATTTCCATCTCGGGATCAGGGTTTTATAAGCATAAAACTATGGTACAGTACCCACACGGTTACAATAGATACCATCACTACAATTTTTCACTAAACAAATGCAAAAATACTCAACATATTTAGTGGGGAATAGGTTTTTCAATAAAGGTCTGAAACCCCGACCTGGGCAGGCATAACAATTTTCCATGTCGCTGAAACCATAATGCAACTGCGAATGAGGCTACGTTTGACCATAAGTTTTACTAATATAAGAGATCCCGACACCACCGCAACTGTTATTTAATACACTAATGAGGAACAAGACACAAGGATCTAGATGTAAGTTTTGTCCTAAGAACAAAAGGCCCAAAGACAAGATCACAAGTGCAATTACCATATGTAACATATATAATCAAGATTGTACATAAATAATAGGCAAATGTGCAACAAACTGCTCCGATTGAAACTGCATTTAAGAGCGAAGTTCCACAAAATTGCAATGCAATAGTTAAATAACCAAGCAATTAAGCAGAACATTGCAAATGAATCTGAAATGCAACCAAATGTAGTGACTATTATACCTTGCCACGCATCTTGTGACATGAAATAGGAATGAAAAAGAGATGAGCCTGATCAGGATCAAGAGTCCGAAAATGACTCTCCCTAATATTTTGAAAAAAATACCCCTCACTAGCATACTTTCCGGTAAGCTTCCTCGGAGTCTGATAAAAAGTTTTAGAATCCCCATCTGGGTATATATAAACCTTGAACCTCTTCTCCATCACCGCAAAATTCAACTTGAAAACGCGTGGCGAGTGATACACATCCCCAAATTCATCATCATCAGCATCTTCAACTTCCTCGCTTCTTCCTACATCCACAACCTTTCCAACTGACGCTGTCACCTAAGAAACAAAAGAAAAACAAAAGGGTAATCGAAAAATTGAAAATTTGGAAATGGGTTGGGGTTTGATTTTGATTTTGTTTACCTGAGATGAAGGCGTGGTGTATTTGAGGGAAAGGTATGTGAATGAAAGAAGGGTGAGGATTGCGAGGGTTAGGAGTGAGCCACGGAGAGAGAAGAGAGTGTGGCATGAGGGTTGTGGTTGGTTTTGCTTGACGGAAGACATGAGTAATGGGTTGAATTGAATAGAGTGTAGGAGAAAGAGGAATCAGATGAAGAATTGTGAGTTTTTGGTGAATCTGTGATGTGAGGCTTTGCTTGCTAATGGAACCTTCTTCTTTAACTGTTGTTGCATTTCTCTTTTGCTGTTGCCAGCCTGCCTAATTCTCTCTCTTTTTCTTCTTCTATTTCTAGAGAAAAATAAAATTGATTTTAAGTTGAGATTTTTAAATTGATTTTAAGATTATTATTTTTTTAAATCTAAATGTAATAATTATTTATGTTTTGTTTTTAGATAGGAGAATGAAATAGAATGGATGGAGTAGAAGTTTTTAGATAGGAGAATGAAATAGAATGGATGGAGTAGAATGAAATAAAATGGAGTTGAATGAAATAGAGTGGAGCAAACAAAATAGAATAAATATATTATTTTTGAAATAGAATGGAGTTGAATAAAATAGAGTGGAGCTGAATAGAATAGAACAAATATATTATTTTATTGTTTGAAAATTTTAGGACGGAAGAAAGCAACTTGTTCATTCTACTCAATTTGGAGGGGAATGAAGGGTGATAATGATGGAATGAAATGAAATTCATACTAATTTTATTTTGTTATGCTTTATTCGATATTAAATTTTCATCCAATTTTGTTTTGCTTCATCCAATCCCATCATTTCAAACAAAACCTTAATATAAAATGATAAATGAATGTTTATAATTAATATATTTATAGAATTTATTTAAAATTTTCAAATTTTTTAAAACCACTTTTAATACAATTTTTAGATTCTACAAATTAGAGAGATTTTATATTATGGATAATAATAAATTTTCTCCACCTAAATCTCTCAAATTTTAATTCATTTTTCCTTCTTTTCTAAATGTTCTCCTCTCTTTTCTTTCAAACTCACAAACATAGTATTTTGGACTGGGCCGACACTTGGCCCACAGTCGAGCAGGCTCAACCCCCACATCAGGTTGGAAGGCCCAATAAGACCTAAACTGCCTCCGCATCGGGCGGCGCCCTTTATCCCGTCGGGCAGAACCCTTTCTCCCATCGAGCACAAACCTCTTGGCAGTCGAGCAGGCACCTCACATCTTCCAGGCACGCTCTCCCTTCTGCCCCAACTGTCAGGCAGACCCTATCCAACTCGAAGGGTTCCTTTAACCTCCCTCACGTTCTCAACGTGTCCCCTACGCGGAGACACGTCATCAGGTAACTACCCGTGTCCTGATTATTCGATCCTCCACCTCCTGGATAGCACGGAGCAACTACACTAGGGCGAAGACCACTTGCTGCTCTTCCTGACGCCACGTCAGCCCTAGCAGTTACCAGCATTGGGGCTGGCAACCCAGCCTAATGCGAAGTAACTGTTGGCCCTGCGCTGGGGGCACACTATAAATACCCTCTTTCACTAGAGGGTCAGGAAATCTCATTTTCACTTCTCTCTCTGTACTTGTTATCACTCTGCCTGACTCTTAATTTGGCATCAGAGTGTGTTTCAGGTACACCCCCTCCATTTTCCCAGCAGTCAGACAGCTCAGCGTCACACCCTAATTTTTTACTTTAAGATCCCACCTCCTTTGTGCGTTTCTTGCGTTATTTAGCTTTATAATTTCATATTTATGTTTATCGCGACTAGCCCATTTGTGTAAGTACATGTTTCAGGCATATGCTCTCATAATCGCGCACTTGGATTCTAAGGGTCCTGCGGCTTTTTCACTAGTTCACCCTCCTCCAAATTTCTCAGAAGTTTTCATGTTCATCAAGAAAAATTAGGGTTTTCGTCCGTTAGTGTTGGGTATGGACTGGTTATGGATTCCATGGCAACTCGTAAGTTGTATCCTCATGACTCGCCTAAATCTTTGATTGTGCAAATAGCAGAGATCAAGAAAATCTAGTTTATTCATGAAGTTGGGTTATCACATAAAGAAAAGGAGTGGAACTCTCTTGTGCTGAGAGGTTAAGACTTCCAGTTCAAGGTTGGTTGAGGCCTGATTCGTCAATCTTTAGGTCATGATTCATTTGGTTTTTCAAGCGGTGGAACATGACAAGTTATTTCCTAGTTACCTCTAAGAATAATCGCAAGTAGCACGTGCTAAATTGACATCCAAGATTTTTTAAGTGGTACAAGGTTTTGGCTTCACGCCATTAGTTTCATTATCATGATTAGAGAGAACCGCAGTTTTTTAAGCATGATGTTTCTTTCTTGACATTTATGAATGAGTGGTGTTGGACATCATTGCATGATTTTATGAAGTTATTAGTTATGAGGAACCGCATGTGTGCAACATATTATTAACACTATGAGTCAAATAAACATCCACACTACTCATACTGTACACCCACGTAATACTTTTCTTAAGGAATTACAGAGTTTTGGTTTAGCTGTTGTCAGCCTTGCAAATACGCATACAACTGCAGAACTGCAGAACTCCATTTACATCAGACACAATTCAAAATTAAAAAGACATCGTTGTTATCATTTACTTTCATGATTTCCAGCCAAATCAATTATATGCTAAATCAAGGAGAAACACAGCAGATGCATCCAAGGTTTTGAGCGAGTTTCAAATTCTAAGAAGCCACAGTTTAGGCTCATAAGCTCTTTATATTGTAAAGAGGTTCAAATAGAAGATTTAATTACAGCAGCATACCAAGTACATTCTTACATTCACATTTCAAACATAAATTCAAATTCACATCAGAAAGTCGTTCGCAAAGGTTGTTTTAGAGGGATTACAAAGCGTGGTTAACACAGACTAAAGGCATTACTTTTTCCAGAATTTGATTCCAAGGCCACGTTCGAGATTTAAGACGGAGCTCCTCGCCGGTTATTTAATTCCTCCAAAATCTGGTGCATTTGATAGTTGCGTAGGAGATTAGTCCATGAATTGATGACATTGTGAGCACGCCATCACCTTCGGAGGCAAGACCAGCATGTATCTCCGCAGCCGGCTTTCCCATCAAGTTTGCTTTCGTTGCGCCTGTTTCAGAGTTATCATAAGAGAGCATTACGGTTTGTTGCACCTTAATATTCAAGATATGTTATTTCACATGCCAAGGGTAGGTACGTATTCGGAGAGCTTACCGACAGATGAACGTTATTATAATTGTGTTTTGGAAGCCTTGCAAGCATAGAAACCACCATTGAATGCAGCTTGTAAGAGAGACTTCATCGTCATCAAGTCAGGGATTCATAGGTTTTAGTGATTTGTTCTTCGCAACATCCATCTAAAACCGCTACAAGCTCTCTTCCAAAACCTGCGGCAAGGGAAATATTGTCAGTTCAACTTCTCGAATTAAGTCAAAGAAGAAACAGGTATTACACAAAATGACTACAACGATACTTACCGTCAAAGAGAAGCAATGCAGACAAAAAGAGAACAGTAGAACTTAGCATATTGGAGGATTGTAGAGATGATTAAGTTGCAAGTGTTTTTCAAAACCAAAACGTGCCCGATAAACCTCGCCACTACACAAGATTAGAACAGAAGTTGTTAGCAGAAAAGTTGGATTCGTCAATCAAGAGCAATCAAGACAATAAACATCCTTAAAGCAATGCTTAATTTCTTTCCAAACAAATTCAGACAAATTCCAATAACTCCCAAAACAGTCAGGAGCATATCGTTATGGAAATGGAAAGTTCAATTATTACCCATCAATTCGAAATTTCAACTTGAGCTTTATAAAGGGAATCCACACATCAGAATCGGGGGAGATACACAGAAATTCACACAAATAGTCGTAGAATCGAAAAAACCTAAAAGTTGTAAAAAGGGGAAAGTTGAGGAAACTTATCTTTTTCGCCATCCACCGCAGTCGAGACCTTTGTCGCCGGAAATCGTCATTTCCGTCTGCGAGTCCACAGAGCCTCTGCGATAAGCCTTTGTTCGCGTTAAAACATATTCACCATCACTGGAATCCCTTCAACAAAACTCCACCGCGAAACCACATGTGATCTGTCGCCCTCCATCCTTGTCGGCCATCCATCAAAATCCCACCGGAAACCGCCACATCACCGCGAAGCCAACTGAGACCTACCAAAAAGAAACCATCACACCGTCAGCTTGGTTTTTGTAAAAAAATTGATATCTATTGATCTGTGTTTTCGCTTGCATTTCAGGGAAGAAGAAAGAAGAGAGAAATTGAAGAGAGCTGGGAGAGGAAAAGAAAGGGAAAGCGGCGATGAAGAGAAGAGGATAGAATGATTTAGGGTTTTCTGTTTTTTTTTATATGTTGTAAATCCCGTGCATGCACACACGTACCCCTATCATGCGCCCTTACCATCACAATCATTCGTCGCTCATCACACGGTCTATATCGCGCACCACACGGTAGGCCTTCTCTGGCCTACCACACTCAATCACACGCCATTAACCTCCCATTTAACCTCTAATTAACTACTCAATAAACCTTAATCTGTCGTTTAACTTAACTAATTATTCATTTTTTATTTAATTAATTAATTAACAATTAATTATCCTCTTTTAAATCAACCCCTTTTTCTTTAAAAAAAATAAACTAATAGCTCATTTTTTAAATTAGTCATTTATTAGTTAATCAGCCTTTAATTTTATCTAATTTATTTCTATTTCACTTATTTAACACGTTTATTTTATCACTTAATCCCTTTTATAAAATAATATAATTGTTCACCAAAACTCTTTTTCTAAATAACTTGTTTTTATTAATAACTAAGATCATTTGTTTTTTAATAAAACATATTTCATAATAATCTAAGTGATTTGTATAACCAAACCTTTTTATTCAATAAGAACTATCCCTTTTTTTAGCCAAATATTGATCTTTATTTTATTAAAAATCTCCATAATAATAAAACTTCTTTTTTTAAAAAACCAAACTCTTTTTATAAATCATTTATTTAAAATCTTTTCTATTTAGAAAATCTAATTCATTTATAGTTTAATCAAATTTCACAAAAAATCTAATATAACTAATTCACCCTTTTATATAACTTCTCCTAAAATCAACCGCACATAATT